TGTGGCGGTGTGATGGTATGCTCGCTTAGCGACTCCCAAACTTACTGCTTCCTGGTAGGCCTCGGGTGCCCCAGAGCCGCCGGCCGTATTGTGCAGGCATCGACCGTGTCCAGACGGCCGAGTGCACCAAAATTGTTCTTTTGTGTCAGGCCTTCGAATGCAATGCGATGATTTATTTGGTCATTTTGACCCACCGATGCATAGACCTTGTGTCTAAAATTTGGATGCTCGGTGACCATTTATAGTTTGTAGTGCCAACCGCTTCCCATAGGGTTTGGGTTCGAACCGGATCAGCACTCCAAAAGAACCCGACTTCCAACTGGCTTGTGGCCCCTAAGTGGTATCAGGGTGCAGAAGTGTTAGGACGCGCAGTAGTTTGGTCAAAACTTTACCTTCTCTACTACTAATACTGTGTGATGTTGAGCAATGACTATATGATAATATGACTTGTTGGTTGGAAGATAGTGTGAAAATCCGTGGCGAAAGATATATAAGTAATTTACTAATTTACAGAGTTAGAAGTTGACCTCTCTCCATTAAGTTTTCTTCCCGCCGTATTGAATCCAGTGTTTTTACCTTGGTTCCTTTAAAAGCATGTACAGCCTCCTTACACATATGATATAAAGGACAAAGAAAATTTGTACATATGGGATGAGTGTTTACCTACACAATTAATGCCAAATGCCTTTTGTCTTTCTGTGAAACAGGACGTGTTCTTGTTGCATTCTTGTCAGTGCTACTAATGTGAGGTGGGTCCGATTTCTGTTTCCCAGAAGACGAGTCAGAAAAGACAGATAAGACACTAAAGCAGTATAATCTCAAGTTTGCTTTTAACCTTTGCCGTGCATTTCAGACGCTACAAAAATATTTTAGTTCTAGGGTCTAACCCCATCGAGGGCTGCAGAATTGGCGTAAAAAGTTTGAGTTTAATAAATTGTACATTTAACACAATTTTGTGCTACAACCGGAGTGAAGTGAGACAGTACCATTGGGAGGGGAATAATCAGAGAGTTTGATTGAAAAATACGCTTTACTGTCGACGCATGAGGGGAATGATAATGCTGTCTTAAAAATGTGGAGCAATTCTTTATAAAACTTGGGATAATGTGAAAAGTTGCTGTCAGTTGCTCCTCATTTCCCCCATTTACCCAGAGTAATCTGCTCATAAGTATAAACCAGAGTTATTCTATGTGGTAAGGACAGTAATGGACTCATCAGGGGAAAAGCCAGTGGGATTAATAAAAATATAGAAGTAATGTTTTAAGCAAAATAGATGTAGTAACCGAAACTAAGCTAATTAGTACAAGTCCTTAGGCGTTCTCTTAGTGTAGAGCTAGGAATGATTTTAATTTGCAATGGATATGGCTATAAGAATGTCAAGAAATACTTGTAAGGTACCCTGGTGTAAAATGTTTGATTACCCCAGGTAGTTTAGTAGTTTTTCGTCAACTCTTTTGGTTTCAGAATCCTCAACTTCTTCCCTTCATGCCAAGATAGGTTTTTTTGTGGTTGGTGCCATCAGGTGGGCTCTCACTTAGAGTAACCGTGTATGTACAGCAGAGTGAAACACTGCGAGTCTGCGCCATCCTGATCGCCCTTGCTGGAAAGTTGAGCTCATTGTTGCAACTGCTGTGTCACTTCATCTCATTGAGACCCTTCCCCTTTTTCACCGACCCTCTCCTTTACCAAGCATGATGCGCTTTTTCAGGGATCGGTGCTGCCCGAGAACATGCCCAAAGTACTGGAGACATCCTTGCTTCTAAGGGGCATTCTGGCTGTACTTCTTCCAAGACAGGTTTATTTGTTCTTCAGGCATTCCATGATATATTCTTGGGTAGCATATTTGGCCAATGCTATTTATTTGTTTTTTTGACTACTGCTTCCATTTTGTGGATCTAAGTAAAATGAAACCCTCCATAACTTCAGTCTTTATTCTCTTTTTCATGTTGTTGCTTATTGCCCCCATTGTGGGGGGTTTTTTGTATTCATATTGTTGTGTTATCTATACTGACCCATACTTTGGTACTTATCAGTAAGTGCTTTAAGATAAACTTTAGGTCAGTATTTATCTGCGTTATCTACCCTGAATTATCATTTGAAGATTTTTAGGTATTAAGTTATTAAATATGCTAAATATATGTGGAGTGCTTTTTCCTGCCAAGTGTTTATGGTAGGTGTGTGCTATGTGTGTCTGAATGAGGATCTCCTTTTTTTTTTCAATCATTTTATTGGGGGCACATACAACTCTTACCACAATCCATACATACATCAATTGTGTAAAGCACACCTGTACATTAATTGCCCTCATCATTCTCAAAACATTTGCTCTCACTTAAACCCCTGACAGCAGCTCCTCATCTCCTTATGAGTATTGCTGATAATTTCTTTGGAACAATTGGTCTATAAAAATCATAAGATACCAATACAAACTCTTTGTGTTATCTGCCAGATTTAAGGACCACAGTGCCGCTATGGATAGTGAACCAAATCCTGGAGCATCTTCTGTGTCAACAACAGCCAGTAGCACTACCACCACGACCATTACCACGTCCTCTTCTCGAATGCAGCAACCACAGATATCTGTCTACAGTGGCTCGGACCGACATGCTGTACAGGTAGGTCAGCTGTAAAGATGGGTAGGGTAAGACCTTTTGCTGCCACCCCATCTGCCACCATCATTTCTGAGTCATAGTGACCTGGTAGGACAGAGTGGAACTGCCCCATAGTGTCCCCAAGGCTATAATATTTACAGAAACTGGCTGTCACATCTTTTTCCTGTAGCATGGCAATCCTTTGATTTAGCAGCCAATTGTTTAATCACAGTGCTGTCAGTGCTTGCTAATCAGACTGCTGAATTGGCATGTAGCATATATAGACTGGGCATGAGGAACATTCTGCATGGAAGGTTACTAGGTGCTGCTCGAATATGGGAACATTTAGCCAACATACATTGTGGCCCTAGGTTTTTATGGACTATTGTAGGAACACATATTTGAATCCAAAGTATAGGTTTGGGGATATCTTTTTAGATGCATTAAGAGATTAATTTTAGCCTCAATGTTCTTAGGGGCAGAAGGAGAGAGAATACTTCACTTGCAAATCTAAGTCTTTTCATTTAGTTGAGAAAGAAGTTTATGTAGTTAGCCTTGGTAATGATGGAAGTTGAGGCAATATGGAACTATCTAAAGAAACTGGGCATCACTGTCTGAGATGCCCTTTGTTGGGATGTCAGCAGCTATGTAGCCTTAAAGGAGCCCTGGTGGCACTGTTGGGGAGGCATTGGGTTGCTAATTGCAGGGTTGGTGGTTCAAAACCATGAGTTGCTCCATGAGAGAAAGAGGAAGTGAACTGCTCCCGAAAATATATATATCCTCAGAAACCCTGTATGGAGTCTCTGTGAGTTGGAATCAAATCTTGGACAGTGGGGATGCAGCCGCAGGTGAGAGGCATAATCTCCTTGAGTCTTAGACCAAACCAAACATACCATCCAGTCGAGGCAGACTCGGCGACCCAATAGGATGGACTAGAAACGCCCTTGCGAGTTTTCTGAGGCTATAACTCTTTATGGTGGAGAAAGCCCAGTCTTTCTTCCTCAGAGGTGGTTTCGATCTGCTGACCTTGTGGTTAGCAGCCCAACTCATAACCACTACACCACAAAGGCTCCCAGAATCTTGGGGACCTGCAAAATGATGAGCCCATCTGATTCATTAATTCTTTATGAGCATTAAATGAAGTATCCAAAGGTGGGTATATGAAATACCTAATTAATAATAATAGTAATAGCTATTATTTATTGAATAATTGCCAATCATTTTATAAGTGCTTCACGTTAGATGACCTCAGTTAATCCTTACCACACTTGTCAAAACTTATTACCATCAAATTGATCCAACTGATAGTGACCCTGGGAGACAGGGTCCCTGGGAGACAGATTGCCCCATATCTCCTATTTATACCCACCAAACAAGCCCACATCAAGTAGTTTTTTACGCATAGCGATTCTGTCGGACAGAGTAGAACTTCTCCTTTGTGTTTCTAAGATTGTAAATTTTTATGGTAGCACAGAGCCTCCTCTCTGAGGAGGGACTGACTGGTGGTATGAACTACTGACCTTACAGTTAGCTGTTCAACTCTTAACCCCGTATGGTACCAGGTCTCCTTTGTAAAATAGGCTAAGTGTTATTGAATTATATACACCCTCCCCTTCCCCACAAATGTGTTGTAAATCTGAACCTCAGTGCCTGTGTAGATATAATCTCATTTGGGAAGGGACTGTCTTTTGATGTAGTGAAGCAAAGTTATTTTGTATAGGGCGTATCTTGAGTCTGTTTCTTTTGAAAAGAGATTAAATGCAAATGATCTAGGAAGATTTACATAAAAACTACACAGGAGTAGAAGGGACAAGATCCTTTGTCTTGAACTGACAGAGGAGAAAGCCTTCCCCTAGGGCTGGCACCCTGAATTCAGACTGCTAGCCTCCTATGAAAAAGTTCCACTTGTTAAATCCTCCCACTTGAGAGTGTGTCAATAGAGCAGCACTAGATAACTACGACACTAAATAACTGTCCCAGACTCCCATAGCTACTATATTCCTGGACTCCAGAATTTGTACCCTCAATCACTTTTCTTCTTTTCGTTATACCTGCGTTCTATAGAATCTTCAAAATTGTATTTACCCTGAAAACAACTCACCCGTGTGCTATATAATGCCACCCTACTTTTGAGAGGGCCTGTCCCAGTATTCTGTTTCTCTGCCCCATGGGTTTGCACCAAATGCCGCGAAGGTTCTGCAGGGTGGAGGCAGAGCTGTTGGAAACCCAGCCAGGTCAGCAGAAATTCAAGCTGAAATGCAGCGTATGCTGCTAATATCCTTCACTTTTCTCAGATCTTTGAGCATATACATGATGTGGTATTTTAATATGCCCTCTTTCAGATTTTTTTTCTTAAGCTGGATGTGCTAGCAAAAAATAAAGTTTTTCTGGATCGGCGTAGATAAAAGATATATTTCACAAATAGAATGAACTCTAGTTCCTATGAGATCATAGAATTGCTTTCTTGAAAATGCCACCAAGTCAATATTTATTGAATTACTTAAGTAGTTCTTTTATCTTCTAGCTTTTGTTTTCAGTCCTTTGAATTCTCAACTTTCTCTGCTTTCTCATTGTTCAGAGGCACAAAGTAAGGACAACGTGCTGTACCTTTAATTTGTACTTGAGGAACGTTGCTCCTGTGAGTGGAGCAGTGAATGCTACTGAAAGACTACACTGACGACAGAAAAAACTGTAACATCAAGAAAAATGTGTGTCAAGTAGATGATTATTTCAGTTTGACTTTAGAATGTTATGGAATTACAAGAATATGTATAGATTTACCTGACCCAAAAGGCCTACCATTGTAATTCTCTGTCACTTAAGGCTGGCCTGTAGTCCCTTGCAACCAGGGGTCAAAAACCTCCATTGATTTTTGTGACAGGAGTTTGTAGCAAGCTTAGCAGACTGTAGTTGCAGAGAAAAATGAGCTATGACAACATGAAAGTAAACTAACGCAGGAAATGTTTTTCTTTAATTTGAATAAAGGGAATTAGGCGTTCCAGTTCAAGATGTCCTGACTTACATCCTCACATGGTGTAAAATTATGTTCACTTCTTCATTCCCTGGGGTCTTTGAAAACTTACTGGGATTCTCCGGTGTGAGAAGAAGGTTAGGGTTCTGAGTCTAAGTTGGGTATGAGAGGACATGGGGATGCCCTTGTAGAGGACTGGAACAGTCTGCCTTTGGACCAATAGGGACGTTTTCTGTTAGTAGAATACTTGATTTTCTCCATGAACTTTCAGGCTCAGATTTTACTATTTACTAATAAATTCAGTAATTAGCACTTCTTCAGGAATATTTCTTTAGAAAGAATAGTTGCTGTCTTGAGATTATTGAAGCAAGGAATCTGAGACTGTAAAATCATTTAAAAAATAATTAGTAAGTAAGAATTAGCTTTACAATTTTATATCATTATTAATATGCCATCCACTCATTTTAAGAGTCTCAGACATTAATAGAAAAGTTCAAACCAAGAGGTAAAAATAACCTCTAATCTAGCCTCTTTTGGTTGTCTTTTCTTGCTTTCCTGAATAGTCTTCAAATATTTTAATATTAAAATGGAATCTTACTCCATACACTGCTAACCTATTTTTTTTCATCTATTGATTTATTTGGGTACTTCTTTTCGTTAATAAATACAGATCTTGATCTGCAGTGCCCAATATCATAGCCACTAACTGTATGTGGCTGTCTACATGAAAATGAATTAAAATTTTATAAAATAAAAGTTTAATTTCTTAATTATATTAGCCACATGTTAAGTGCTCAGTAGATACATGTGGACAATGGCTCCCACACTGGGCAGTTCTAATCTACAGTACTGTTTGCAGTGGATCCAAGCCCTGAATTCTTCCAAGCTCTACCAAAGGTTACACCAATCTACATTCTTAACAACAGTGTAGGAGAGTACCTGTTTCCCCAGGTAGTAGTTGTTTTAACGTTGTAGCCATCTGAAAATTGGGAAATAGTGTCTTGCTTTCACTTGACTACAACTGTGATTGAACCTCTTTTCAATTGTTCACTGGCCATTTTTCAAAATGCCCATAGTACATCATTTTAATTTGAGTAAATTAGTGAATGCAGGGATATAGAATCAGGAGAGACCTATGTTCACGAGCTAAGTGACAAGGAGTATTACCAATGGAGTGGAATTTCAAACCACCACCTTTTGTTATGCTTGATTTTTATGGTGAAGATTAAGGTTAAGATGCTGGTTTGACAATGGTTCAATTGGCTTATCACAGGTAATTCAACAGGCTTTGCACCGCCCCCCCAGCTCAGCTGCTCAGTACCTTCAGCAGATGTACGCAGCTCAACAGCAGCACTTGATGCTGCACACAGCAGCTCTTCAGCAGCAGCATTTAAGCAGCTCCCAGCTTCAAAGCCTTGCAGCTGTTCAGGTGAGACTCACAGAGATGCAGACCTTAGCTTAAGCTATCTGCAGATGACAATGGAAAATAAACATATGATTCCAGAGTTCACAGAGATCCTGTGATTCGTTTTCCTTAAGGAAAAGAATTAATAGGCTGTCAGAGAGAAATTAATTAGGAAAAAAATAATAATGTATAATTTACTCTGTTGCTAGCGTTGACCCCACTACTTTTTATCTGCACTGTGGAAATGTGCTGATGGCATAGGGTTGTGTATAAAATTCTAGGAGCAATAGTAAAAAGTCAAGGTTACATGAATGATACTTATATTTGAATTAAAAAGTTTGATTATGTAAATTATTTTCACTCATTAAAATAACACAGTGGTATATAAGAGGCAAGAAGAGATGTTCCTTTCTGTCCCCACTGTGGTTTTCCACTTTTACATGGTGGGCATTCTATTGGTTTAATATGTTGTCCTTAGTTGCCATTGAATTCATTCCAGTTCATGACCTCCTCATGTTGGCGGCATAGTACTGCCCCACAGGGATTTCAAGGCTACGACCTTTGACAAGGAGAGCATCTAACCTACTTCGAGGTGCCTCTGAGTGAGCTTGAAATGCCAGCCTTTGGGCTAGTGGCTAGTTGACCCCTTAATGGTTTGTGCCACTCAAGGACTCCATTGAAAATGTATTTCTCCAGGGGGAAGAAAAAAATTGATTGTGCTTAAAGTGAAAGATTACACGGCAATTAGATTCAGCACAGATTATTCAGTAGTAGTGGTTACATTTCTCACAATGTGCTGTTGTCTTCCTGCGTTGTTCCTCTTGTACCATTTCCAGTACTCTCAAGGTTCCCTGCTTCCTTTCCTTCTCATCTTTGCTTTAGAGTGATTTTGACCATTTAATCTCAGACAAATGATTTTTAAAAGACGCTCATCACTCATGGCTGGTGTTCTTTCTTTTGGGTCTTTTTAGTCAATCTGTTCCTTAGGTTAAAAGGTGACGGCAAGCCATCATTTTGATTTAAAGTGGAAAGAGTCTCTCAGGGGATGGTCTGAGAAGGTCTTTGGTCTCAATTGGTCTACTAAATTTGTACTTTTTAATTTCTTGAGTTCTATTTTACGTTTTTTCCTCCCCATCTATCAAGGTCCTTTTCCTGTTGCCCTGATCAGAATGGTTGGTTCTTTTGGTCTCAGGATAAGAGGAGGCCATCGTTTTAAGACTTAGTTTGATCAACTACTTTCTAATCTGGGTTTTTGGTTTTCTTCTTCCTCTTTGCTCCTCATGAGTAGAGACAAATAGTTATCAAGCAGAACGTTTTTACTTACAAATGCGTATACGGACCTTTCTAAAATTGAATTATACTATTTTTAACTGATAATGGTGGTTTTATGATTATAATTTTAAAAATCATTAAATGTTGTATTGCCATTTAAATAAAACTATAAGTGAGAGTCAATCCTAAATCTCCTCTGTAGATTAATCTCGGGTTTCTAGAGACTTGTCCTGAAAAAGGCTTATTTCAGTAATCAATAGGTGATGAGCTGTTGCTTCTTCTTGATAGTGTGATTGTAAATAGCATCCTGTTTGCAGTACAGGATAGGAAACTGAAACCTATTGGCACTTCACATAGCTCCGGTTTCTTTTTCATATTGATGGAGGGGTGACTTTTCAAAGACCTGTAGATGACAAGCCTGTGGAGTGGAATTGACAATGGGTACAGCCAAAGAAAAGAAAAGTATTTTGGTCATCTGTTTTCCCCACTCAATTTTTCTTTTTTGAAAATCTGTTTAACCAAAGTTTAGGTCATGTTTACCATAAACTGAATTGGTTCATATGTGGTATTTTCAATTGTTCTGATTTTGTGTTACCCTGGTACCGAAAAGCTTTAAACTTCAGGTTTTTGTAGACCAAGTCTTATGAAGGTCTTTTTATTTTAGGCAAGTTTGTCCAGTGGAAGACCACCTACTTCTCCCACAGGAAGTGTCACACAACAGTCAAGTATGTCTCAGACATCTGTAAGTGCTCTAAATTTTTTTTAATTAAAAATTTTAAATTAGCATTACCCCAAAATAAGCAATTGATGATATTTATGAAGCTGTTATTGTATATTTGTTGATTGCTACTCAAGTAATGAGTCCTCTTATTCAAGACATAGGAATGATAAGTTTTTAAAACTCATAGCTAATGTTGAACTTCTGAAAATCTGAATCTCAAAAAACCTATTTGTATTTTTAATTTTTTTCACTATGTTCTTTTTTTACAATGTTCAGATCTTATGTGATTCTAAATGATTTAAATTTTCAGTATGTCTGGAAAGCCTGAAATACCTAATAATGCAAGGATTTTAGGCTATGTTCTTTCTGTGATATCTGAAAATATGTCATGTCTTTGGAAGACATCTGCATATTTCTAGCTTTGTCTATGCAGTTCATATTTTAGAAATTATACTTTTTAGCTTATGTGGGTTAGCTCAGCCAAATTTTAAAATAACTACCGGAGATAATGTGACATAATTTGGGGGAGGAATTAAAGTTGTTTTCCCAAATTACATAGATATACTGGAAAAGTTGCCCAGTTGGTAGACAGTTGCAGGCGTGGTATAGTAAGTAAATACTATATTTATTTATATAGGAATAGTAAAAAAAAATACTGTTATTTTGATGTAACTTCAAATTGCAGAAGTAACAAAAGAATCTGTATAGTTTTTTTTAGTTTTTTAAAAATTTCTCTGAATCATTTGCAGGTAAGTTGACACAAGCTGTATATCTTAGATACTTTGATATGTATTCTTAGAAACAAAGTCCTGTTAAGGAATCACAGGGAAATGATCAGGAAATTTAACATTGGTATAGTGCTGTTCATATTCAAGTTGCATCATTGTGGAAAGTTTCATGGTATTATCATTTTGACATTTTACACCTGATCATCCTATGTTGCACTACATGATACATACTTAGCTATATTCTTGCCTTCTACCTATTAAATGCTAGTAGATTCTAGCCTTTTTCCTTTCCTCTCTGAGACAACCAAAATGTCTCCAGCTGCTGCAGAATGTCTCCTGGGGACAGAGTCACCGCAGTTGAGAGGCATGGGCTTATCCCAGTACTGCTCTGTCCGGCAATCTTTTTCTTTTCTAGGATGGTAATATTTTTAATATTTTATGAACCTGACTTTAACAGATTATACTTTGTAGGTCGGTTAAAGACTTGAAGATGAGCTTGTATTGTTTCTTTATCTGAAAGTATAATCTTGGCTGACTCAGTACATGCTGTGGTCAGCAAGTAGCTATATTTATGGCTCACTGCCTGACATTTTTTTTTTTAAAACATTTTATTAGGGGCTCATACAACTGTTATCGCAATCCATACACACATCAATTGTGTAAAGCGCATTTGTACATCATTCTCAAAACATTTTCTCTCCACTTAAACCCCCGACATTAGGTCCTCATTTTTCCCCTCCCTCCCCCCTCCCCCCTCCCTCATGAGCCCTTGATAGTTTATGAATTGGTATTTTGTCATATCTTGCCCTGTCCGACGTCTCCCTTCACCCACTTTTCCGTTGTCTGTCCCCCAGGGAGGAGGTCACATATAGTTCCTTGTAATCGGTTCCCTCTTTCCTACCCATTCTCCCTTTACCCTCCCTGTTTCGCCACTCACATCACTGGTCCTGTAGGGCTCATCCGTCCTGGATTCCCTTTATTTTCAGTTCCTATCTGTACCAGTGTACATCCTCTGGTCTAGCCAGACTCGAGTCATGGTAGTGGGAGCGGGGAAGAAACATTTAGGAACTAGAGGAAAGTTGTATTTCTCATCGTTGTTAGATCGCACCCTGACTGGCTCATCTCCTCCCCGAGACTTCTCTGCAAGGGGATCTCCAGTGGCCTACTAATGCAGCCTGACATTTTTAATTAAGAAAATTCTCTTTTGGTATGATAATATCCTGAAGTATAGGCAAAATTAGTTTAAAAAGAAATTACTTATGACTTAATGATGTTAGACCAAAGACAATTAAAAACTTAAGTAATGCTGGCTAGCCTGTACCATCAATACTAGAGCATTAATATGTGAATATCAGCTATGGCTTTAATTAATACATTGTTAGTCAAGGGATAGACTGGCAGACATTTTCGTGGTCTTGTTGAAAAGTTTACAGACATTCTTTATTTGGTGATACTCAGAAGTAAAATATAAATGCATGTCATGTATGAAGGGGCTTCTGAAAAGTGGCGGGAAATTGGAATTGAAAGATAATGGAATTTTAGACCAACTTTTGATGGTCCTCATATATATTTTTTTCACAATGAAAGGTATACTTTTATACCGTTTTCCTCGGTCTGCAACATTCACAGAAATGACAATTCCAATAATTACGCTTGCTTTTTATGACTTCGTTAGTGTTACTGGCATAAGCCAGACAGCCTTGCCTCATCAGAGTAGTAGACCCTGTGACTGGCTGCTGGGGAAAGGGAAGTAAGTGGGGGAAACAAGAGCAGACCCATTGCTGCTGAGTTGGTTTCCACTCCTAGCCACCAACAGCACCGAGTCGGCCTGCTCTGCTGCATTTCCAAGGCTCTGAATCTCGACAGAAGCAGATCACCACTTCTTTCTCCTGCCTCGTAGATTATGTGTTTGAACCCCCAGCCTTTCCACCAGGTCATCTTACTTGAGAGGAGCTGCCTAGAAAAAAGAGATTCCTTTTCTATTTTGTGTGTTTGTGTTAACTACTATTCAGGTAGGTTGCATAGCAGCCAAATGATGATGTCCAGTGTAGTTCGGTAAATCTGGATGGACATCCCAAAGAGGATAGAACATGTCAGCCGAAATCTCAGTGATCATAATGAGCCCTCAGGTGCAGTCCAGTGGGTTTCAGAGTTTGGGTTATTTTGAGGTGGCTTTCCTGATGACAGTGAAACCTGTGGGCAAGGGGACAACCTCCAGGAGGGAATATGGCTCCTGCTCGTCAGGTCACTACCTAGCCTGGTAGGAATGTTATGAAGCGAAGAATTTGTTGTACAATCTGGGGGAACTATGCAGTATGTGAAGGAGACTATTGTTAGTGACTGTATAGGCAGCTAGTGGGTGCCAGCATGTCCCCTGTCTTCTCATTAGAACAGCAGTACTAATCCTAGGCTTATATCAATAGTGAGGGTGGTGACTGACTGATTGTCTCTGAAACGAATTAGAACTGAGCCTTTAGAATGGTATCTTCATTATCTCATCTGAGTGGGGTTAGCATTTAGTTAACTTTGATTGACTATAGTGAAATAAAAAACCAAGCCTTTGAACGAGTGCATTCCTGTTTGTCCCTCTGCTGAGAATTTGCACTTTTACTCCAGATACACTGAATTGAAACCTGTATTTTTAACAATATCCTCGGCGATTCTTATATATACATAAGCATCACCTAGGACTCTTGCTAAACTGTGAGTTCTGATTCATTACATGTGGAGTGGAAAGGCAGCTATCTCAGTGAACCAGAATGAAGTCTGTCAAAGCCCTGATCCAAATCAATTAAAAACTGCTGCAGCCAAACCCTAGTGGTTTTCAAATGAAGCCTGGGTGGGCATTTTGAGTCTTATGTTATAAGATTGGGGCTATTTTTTAAACATTTGCTTTAGCCAAGTGCTGCTGCTGCTTCAGGGAAGGGGAGGTGTGCCACTTTACTGTCAGTTTCGGGAGAAGTTCAGTTTTCCTATTTGGCCTCTGCTTATCCCTGAGAAGGTTTTCTTCCTGACTGCTCCTGGTGGCAGTTCTGGCTCCTCCCTAGGCCTCTGTGGCCCCACCGATAAATTGGAGTGGAGGGAAGAGATGGGTGTAGATGAGAATGAGATGAAGTTCACTACTTGGCCTACTCTGACATGGACTTAGTCCAGGCACTGCGGGGAGTGGAATATGTCCTTACAGTCTGGTCAGGGTGGAAATCCAGACTCTCCACAGGAACTCAGGAATTCTGCTGGTAGGGGAGGAGCCACCTTTTTTTTTTTCTTCTTGGGGTGTTTGGCTGGAATAGAACAATTATTTTTTTGAAAAAAGAACAATTATTGTGTAAAAGTTTTTTGTCTTGCCAGGCTGCCCTCTTTCCTGGGCCTTTTTGCCAGAAAGAATGAGTTCTTGTTTTGGAGTGGCTTCTGGCTGTGCACATTGATGTTTTGGGTTACTGGCTCCTCCTGTAAGTCTGGGTGATGTGAACCAGGGAACTCACCCCCGTGCTGTCGTTGGGCCTCAGGTCTCTGGCTGGTCTGCCTCTGCTCTCTGCCTTTTGGAGTTTCATGTTTATATGTAAGCACTCAGGGCTTTTAGTTATATTTAAAATGAGGAATAGGGAAAAATAAGTATTTCATCTTCCTGGAAACAACTCCTCTTATTTAACTTTTGTCCTAAAAAGTTGTATCTATAGGTTGCCTGATTATGAACGGGGGAAAAATCCATCATGATACAAAATGAAGTATAATCCATAGTTATTTCTGAGAAAGGAGGTTGGAGAGTTATTTTGTGAATCTGTAGATTGCCTCAGTTAGTATTGTCTGGTAGATGGCACAGATGTATAGTTTAAAAGTGACACTGCAGTCCTGTTGGCCCTGACAAATTTTATGTAAAGCTTTCTGTTTTTTTAAAAACCTGTATTCATTTTCTATTTAAACCCCCAACCTAATTCACAATGAAAAAGCAACCATTTACTTTATTAAATTTTCTCATATTGAACAACAAAATAGTGTAAACAGCACAAAACCCCAAATCCACTGCTTTTGAGTTGGTTCCAACTCAGAGGGACCCTCACTGTGTCTCCCAGACCGCACATGGTCACAGGAGCAGGCAGCCTCGTCTTCCACCCAGAGTGGCTGCCGGAATTGCCCGCCTTGCTGTTAGCAGTCCGGTGCCTAACATACAGCACAACAAGGGCTTTTTATATATTTTTCTTCATAGATGTAAATAGATAAGCCTGTGTTCATTTTATTTCTTTAAGTGTTATATTCTAAATATGCTTCCTCTTCTAAGCCTTGGGCATTTTCAGC